AATCTCTGTTTTGTTGATCTTGTATTGCTGATCATTAAAAGTGCCTATTGATCTATTATAATTTTTATCATATAAGGCAAAACGCAAAAACAAAATGGTAAAAAAATAGTCATTAAAGGACAAAAAATCCAATAACATGAATAATGAGTCGTCAGATGATTTCCTCCATATTATCTGAATTGTAGATCTTGTCTTGCTGATCATTTTTGCTTATTTAAGTTTCTATCTATAGTATCTATGATATTTTTAAGATACACATGTATATGGCAAAAACGCAAAAAAATGGTAAAAAATCTTCATCAAAGGGCAGTAACTCTAATAAGGAGACAACTGACGATTTTGACCATGTAGCCACTTACTTTTAGAACTTGTCTTGTGATGGGAAAATGGGAAAAGCCGGCGGAAGGACAGAATATCAAATACCAAAAAAGCTACAAATGTAACCACTTAACCGGACCTTTTTCCATTTTGATAGTTTTGATATAAACATATACTAGTATTGAAATCTTTAAAAAAAAGCAATACTAATATTTCAACATGATCATCGTGGAACTTATTATAATCAATTATCCAGTACATTATTGACTTAATTAACCAATTTTTACCTAAATAAATTAACAAGAGGACACTTTGTCTAGTATCAGCTTGGGATAAAATCTTAAGTAAACATTTTAATTTCTGTGTCATTTAGTCTCTTGTGGCGAGTTGTCTCGTTGGGAATCACACCACATCTTATTTTTATATATTTGTAAAGGTGCGCAAGAAAAACATGCATTAAATAGTTGTAAGATAAACAAATTTTACAATGTAGTTGTTTTTTAATTTTAAATGAATATTGAGTGAAAGTTAATGTAACAAGAGTGCACACGCTGAAATGTCGCGCCTGCTTTACTGTCCATTGATATTATGTTGATAGTCATGAATATAAAGCTTTACTACAAGTATCACATAAACTTAACATAATCCAAGAAAATGAGGTCAAGGTCAGATAAACCAAACCGGAAACACATGTACATCATGTACACTTTACAATCATTCCATACACCCAAATATAGTTGACCTATTGCTAATTATAGTCATGATAGTTTCTTAAAAACAAACTTGACCAGGAAAACTTAACATAACCATAAAACAGCAGGCATTTCTTTTTTTTTTGATTGGTTAATTTAAAGTTTGCGTAAAATATTTCATGCATATTCTGACAGGATTAGAACAAACTAACAGTTAATTCAAAAGGCAGGTCCTGCAATAGGAATCAACTGGGATGGAAGGACCAACATTTGGAAAGCAACTGGTAATTTCTACTAAATGATGGTATATTTGATTAGAACAGAAATTAAACTTGGCATTAGGCTACTTACAATGTATGTAACCCTCAAAGAGTTGCTGTAAGGGTTAATAAGGTCTGAAGAGCACTTTCTCAGGGTTGACATTAACTTTTATACCAACTTGTCCAGTTGGGCAAGTGCCCTATTACTTTTACTTGTCCGAAAGTGAAATCTACATGCCCAAACTTTTACATGCTATTTTTGTGGTTGTAATGTAGTATATGCAGATAAAATATAGTTATCATGTATATGGGGTGTAAATTGATTATGGAGTACGAAAATATACTATGAGGCATATATGAGCCGAGGAGGGAGGGAAAAGATTGATGAATATACGGGAATTGGATCATTTACATAGAGATACTTATTTCATAATAATTTATCTAAGAAATGCCATTTCAAATAACCCTTCTTGATAAACTGACAACAATTGACAAATTTGTTAAAGTTTAATTTCATTTTCTCTTTCAAGCTTTTACGTTTTTCCATCTTAGGGAAATACACATCCGATGTCAAATTATAAAGTTAGAACAACGAAAATAGACCTCCGCTTTCCATTGGTCGGTGGGAATAACACGTGCGTCGGAAACGCCCGAGTGGTGTCCCGATGGATAACGATAATGAAGAAGCAACGCCGCGGCCGCCTGATTGGCCAATATTTTTAAACGTGATCTATTTTTGGTAAAATGGGGAATTCAGTGCGAACAATTGACGAAATATACACATTGAAGGGGGTTTAAGACCACTTTACTCGACCGTGCGGTGTTATCACTGAGTAATCTATGGACAAAACAACAGACACTATTGATTTTGTGAAATTTTAATCATATAACACTTTTTTTTTCACTTGCCCGATCGGACAACCAAGATGATGTTTTTACTTGTCCGAATACGGCATTAGCTTGCCCCGGGCAATCGGACAACCGTAAGTGTCGGACCCTGTTTCTCTACTAGAGGCATCAGATTAAATATCCCTATTCAGACCAGACATGACTGCTAATTCATACATCTCATAAAGCCAAAAGAACACCAAATTTTTTGCAAGTGTTTTACAGCAGGTCGGAAGAAGACCAAAAGTGACCATTTTTGGTTACCCCATTATCACTTAGGTTACATGTACATTATCTGTGTACATTAACTTTCCTAAATCAGTCGATCAACAGCATATCATAGACAAATATCGAACAAAACCAACTATATATATTTACAATTATGCACGGCCAGTGATTTTGCTAGCGCTCGTCACTTTCGTAATTTACGAAACTGTTTTCAAAATGACGAAAGAATTTTAAATCAATTTCGTCACTTAAATTTGGAAAGTGTAAAAATATTTTCGCATGAAAATACTATAATTCTACCTGTCTACATGTTTCTGACAAGTTTATGACCCTCAGCTAATTAACATTTACAACAGGTGTTATAAAGTTGTGATTACAGCTAATCCGTTTATCGCCATCGGATGGGTCACTAATCCGGTTAATTATTTTCCCCAGTAAAATCAGTCAGTATGCATTTGAATTTCAATATTTCTCAAGGCCAACGACCACAATTTGCGGTTAGTTTGTCGTAGTTTCGTCATTTGAACCAAATTGTTTTCCACCGGACAGTTCGCTTTTTCATTTCAATATTTCTAAAACGATCATAATTTGCAGTTCGTTTGTCGTAGTTTCGTCATCTTTGATATAAAACGTCCAATTTCGATTAAAAAGATAGAACTTTATTCAAAACGTTCAGAAATGTTTTCACGTTAAAACTTTAACTTCCATCATCATCAACGAGTCAAACAGGTGCTTCCTTTACGATATACTGCGCATGCGTGAAAGTATTCCTATAGACACTAAAACGTAAAATACGAAATAAATTTAGTGCCAAAATAAATGATAGAGACAAATATAGTTCTTACTAAGCAAATTGAAATAAAAAAAATATAATTTCCTGCCTTTTTTTTAACACGAACCAATCCGTAGATGAATCCGGATTCATTCTGAATCTTTTATCTACTTGTCACTTCCCGTTTACATTTCATTTGAAAATCGAAAGTAAACATGATCAATTCGCGATTAATTTACAATTTACAGTTATTAGAATCATTCCATGTGAATTTGTACAAATCCTTGGTTCCAACTTTATAGAAATTAATTCAAAATATCAATTTAAACGTTTTATAAGGATAATGATTATGTAGTGTAATAGTCTTACAAAGTTCAACAAGTTCATTTATACTGTGATTCCTGGTTTTAAAAAAAGGAACCCAACTTTTATTGATCAGGAATGTCCCCTGAAACTAATTGAAGTAAAATTTTGAACTAGATTTTTAGATCTTATATCCTAATCTTCATATTTTAGTGACACATCAGTCAAATCATGCAATTGGTGCCTTAGTCCTTCAAAGTCTGACAAAGATGTACATGTATAGCTAGTAATATGCATACATCCTTGGTCCCTTGCTGTTACCCAAAATAATGTTAATTTTCATCTCGCACAAAAGTGACTAAAGCCCTCAAAATCCTAGCTTAAACCCTGTGCACGGCTGAAAGACAATGAAATTTTTGGAATTATGTGCATCCTGAACCTGAACATGCTAAAGCTACATGTAGCTCTCATGTTACAAGTACATGTATATATTTTGGCACAAAACTGAAAACCCATTGTGAATAGTAAACACTTTGGATATTCTCTGTCTTGTCAGTTTTTAGATTTTACCTCATACTTAGGCCAAATGAAATCAGAAAACCGCTCTGCCTCAGACTTCGGAGTGTACATAGTCCAAATAATTTGACGTCTTGAACAGTTAAAAGGTAGTCCAAATAATTATGACGTCTTGAAAGGCTATTTTATTCTTTTTACTTTGCCGTCGCAGTAAGGCGTCAAAGCAAAAAACTAAAATAGCCTTTCAAGACGTAATAATTATTTGGACTAAGTTAAGGTTCATCAAAAGGAATTGAAAAATATGGCCGTGTTTACACCACAATTACTACTATGAGTACAGACAAACTGATGTATCTAGGAAAGTTTTAAGGCATGGCAGGACCTAGATGTATAAAGATTATATGTAGTTTATGTTTCAGAAAATTAAAACTTACATGTACCTGAATTTTGATGTGCATTTTTTTCCAGTCTGCAGAAGATAGCAAAATAAACAAACACGTGAGTTTCATTTGATACAGTCCCGTCCACTAAATTATACAGTTTAAATCACCTGTTCAGGCTGTTGTTTGCAGATGTCTATTGTCCATTTAAATCAATCCTACTCACATTTATTATATGAGGGGAGCTTCTCAAACCTCTTTCCCAACTTACAAACAGTAACATGTAGTTTATTTTGACACCTTCTGCAGGAATAAAAAAAAAAGAATAACATCCAGAAATGTTTATATTTTTCTGAAACATCAAATGCATTTAAAATGTAATTATCTTGTTCCTGCCATGCCTTAAAACTTTTCCAGTTGCAGAGTTTCGTCTGTACTCAGAGTAAATTTTGTGGTGTAAATGCGGCCATATTAGCCAAAAGGTAATGATGAACCACAGGGGTTTGTTACAATTTGCCGGTTTACTATCCATACGAACCCCGAAAAAAACAAATTGTAACAAACCCCTGTGGATGAACCTTAAAAGGCTGCTGCGACTCCAAAAGTGATTAGTTTCATCAGGTGAATATAAGTGTTCCTTTACCTACATGTATTATCAAACTTGGTACTTTTTACACCAACAGAATCATTCCGTGCACTTTACTTTGAGCAGTTAAGAACTTCAAAGACAAAGTAGATATATCTTCCTTGCAAATGTTAATTGTGAACTTCCCGCCAATTTCAGTGTGCCAAATTGTGACCCGGAACCGGTCTCACTAATTAGCGACAAGAAGCGTCAAGAAGCGACAAGAAGAATAATTTTAGCGACAAGAAGCGACAAGAAGACTATTTAGCGACAAGAAAACATTTTTTTTTTATTAAAATTACTTATTCCAAATAAATATTAAAAGAATATGCAAAAGGAAACAATTTTAGCGACAAGAAAGTTAATATTCTATCAATAAATAGATAGAAAAAAATTTGAAACATAGATCTAATTGCTACATTTATTTGTGATATCATTTATTATTTATTATGTATATCAGCAAGTACTGATACATTGCTTAGTTATAGCAATCTTGTGATTGGTTCAGATGAGGAAAAGGCATTAGTTAACGCTATCAAAGACAGTTTTCCAACATCAACATACGGATTAACACAAACGTTACGTTTACTATTTGCATGCACCTGTAATTCAGTGGTTGTCGTTTGTTGCTGCGTTACATGTTTGTTTTTCGTTCATTGTTTTGTACATAAACTAGGCCGTTAGTTTTCTCGTTTGAATTGTTTTACAATTGTCATTTCGGGGCCTTTTATAGCTGACTCATTGTTGAAGGCCGTACGGTGACCTATAGTTGTTAATGTCTGTGTTATTTGATCTCTTGTGGAGAGTTGGCAATCATACCACGTCGCCTTTTTATATTTCAGACCTGTCACCATGTTGGTCTCCTCCAAAATTGTGTCCAATCTTTCTTGAAACCCAATTGATTTCTAATTAAAATATAGATCTATCGTAACTTGCGTCAGGCCTCGGACTTTCTATACTACTTAGTATGGAAAGTCTCTGCTTGGGTCGACGTGCTTTTTGGATGTGGGATATATATATATAGTGGGTAAAAATGGGGTCTTGGAGAAAGAGCTTTTTTGGATGTGGGATATATGAGGTAAAAAAAATGGTAGGGTATGGGGAAAAGAACGTAAAAACGACAGGGGGATCAAAAATTGAGAACTGGGGAAAAATTACAAAAAGCGGGATTTGGAAAATGAGCATCCAGTGTCACCGAGGGGGTTTGAAGGGGGTCTGGGGGGTAACGTCGATATTTTTTTTTGGTAGGGATGTGCCATTTTTGCCTCAAAAAACGTACCATTTTTAATATAACATTCAATGAAATTCAGTACCTGTAGTCAGGATATAAATATTTAAGAAAGAATTACCTATACTTATATACAATATTTAAAATAAGACCCATGCTTACATAACTTGAGCACTTTAAATTTATATCATCTCTCATAATTCATAAATATACAGCTACACTTAAGTTTTTATAGACAAATCACATCGTTTGGTTCATATACTTTATCGTTATATTTACGCATGTATATTGTTGGATTAACTGCATGTTTAATTGGGTGTGAGATGTGAACTTTCAAATTGATTTAATTTAATATAATAATTTACCATTAATAATGTAAGTTTAAAGATTCTCAATAGCATATTTATATATGATATGTAGATCATACCCCAAATCAATATACAGTTATCAAACGTAAATAGATATAAGAAGATGTAAATGCATTTTTATATAGGATGTCATTAAAAAGGAGGTTCATTTGTATATAAAATCTCGCAAAAATATGACCCATATTTTTGGCACATCCTCGTATACCCAATAATAGGAAGTAACCCCCAGTGAGTTCCAACTAAACATAGTTTCCCCTACGTTTTTTAAAGTTGGGGAGCAACCCCCCCCCCCCCCCCCCTCCAACAACAACAACAACAACAACAACAACAACACTTCCCACACACACACGGCAACTTCCTCGATTAGCTGCATATATAAATCGCGATTGAAAGATGTTGAATGACGGACAACTTCACAAGATTAGTGTAAGTGCTGCTTGTCATCTCAAATGCGTGCCTCCAATCGTAAATGTACATAGTTTTAAGATAAGAACGAAATACATCTTTTGGTTACACCAGTAACTTAAAAAAAATGAGACTCTTCTTTTTGTTGAAAAGTTATATTATAAAACCAACATACACTATCCAAATAGTTGTTTCAACAGTATATATTATCAACTGAATGCAATAAATAGTGATAAATCCTAATAAAAAAAAAGGATATGAATTATAGTCATATTTTAGGTCTGAAAAGAACTACAGAAAAAAATACTAGTTAATTCTGGCTATATCCAAGGGTTTCAGAAATATTAAGGATGTCTTTATAACTTTTCATTCTATAAACTGTATATAGTGTATCACAATACAATCATAACTAGCATATACAAGTGTTATCTTGATAAATAATTATTTTCATGTCTGTGACTTAAAAGACCAAATAACATATATTTGCATGTTTTTTTATAATGACCCATCTATATTTTGAACGTATGCTCACCAATAGTTGTTAGTTTCTGTGTCATTTTGGTATCTGGTGGAGAATTGTCTCATTGGCAATCATACCACATCTCCTGATGTTTATATATAGCCTGCTGTTCACGTCGTATGCCTGAGATAACGTTATATTGTAGTTTTATTTTAATTCTATTTTTTTCCCATAATTACTATTTAATTACCAGAAAGTTATATTTGCGAACTATACATGCGTAGAATGCCACAAATTTCAGTTCTATATTTCTCGAGCTATATTTTGTTGTTTGCAGTGGAGATCATGCACTTTACATTTCCTACTGGTCTAAGATACTTTCAAAATAACCCTAAATACATGTGAAATCCTAAACGGTATATTTAAACGAGAAATATAAAATCCGGCTATCCACAGGGTAACTTATTTTGTTGGGTTCTAGATTTTTTTATAGTTTGAAGCACGAGAGAGTGGTCACTTTTTCAATTTTTGTTCTGTATTTTTAGTATTGAAATTCTGCACAGATTTACTGTGCATATAAATTTCGAAATATTCTGTCTGCACAGTTCATTACTTTGCTTTTAGATTTCTACTTGGATATCAGAGACGTCATTTAACATCTTTCAACGATTTAAACCAAACTTGGTGTACACTTTGCACTTACAAGTGCCTTCTAATGTATTGCATAATATTTCAAACCTATAATAACAAATAAAACATAATTGTGTTATTCTTGTTAAACAACAAATCATAAACAAACTATCCAAAAAACCCTATCCAACAAGTTTGATGTGCAGTTCATGTCTGCAGTGGCAGCATCTTTATTGTGCAAGACTAAAAAATGCACCAAAAGCAAGGCATTGGTTTTGTTACACTTGTAAAGCATTTTGAAGTTATTGAATTTGACTTTTAATTTCATAACTTATGGGATATTTCATTATAAATTTTAATTGAAATATCATTTGCGTCTAATATTCTATTATTTATACATCCTTTGTTTTCAGATTGATAAATTCGAGCGCTCTTGGTGGAGGAAAATCACGATAAGAGCTTTATATCTTAAAGGATGAATTAACAAAAAATGGACAGAAAAAAATAGTTTTGAGTTACTGAGAAATTATTAGAGGAGGCAAAGGAATATAAACTAAAGCAATTTACATGGTAAGACTTTCCAACTACCTGATTAAGCCGTTCCATGATTCAGAATGCTCACAATGACAGCTTTATGTGAAAAATTCAATGTAAAAAGAAATGATCAAATGAATAAGGAAACAAGAAAGATCTAAGAGCTTGATAACAAAATAGGAGAAAGTAAGGTACAAAAACATAAGACACAAAACTAGAGACTCTAAATAGCCGGTGTCGCTCACCTATGTCTATGTGCATATAATAGTAGTAAAGGTACAACCAACTAACTTTCGTCTGGCGTAAAAGTGTTTGAGGGAGGGGCAAAAGGACCAAAAATAGCGCGATAAACAGAATGTGATTGTCGCGTTTTTCTGTGTATAGATATCGTAAAATATCAACTGCTCAACACAGTGTGAAGCATTTTTGCTCGTTTGCTGCGCTCACTCGCCAAAAAGGATCCAAATTGTAGATCGCGGTTGATATCTTACAGTATCAATGTGCAGAAAACCCGATAATCTATACATGATATGATGTTGTTATCGCATTTACGGTTTTGTACTAATATTTTGACAAAATCTCTGTTACAAACAACTTATAAATTGAGAGGAGACGAAAGTATTCAATACATTAGATTGGTGTATTCGAACACAACTGAATATATCATTTCCAAAAAACATTTAGAAATTTAAAAAATATATATAAAAAAAAACCCAGCTACATGTAAAGGTAACTATGATCTTAATTTAATGGATATCTAAAATAAATAATTATCTTATAGATTCTTTACTCTTGAGATTCCGTCAAGTTCCATCACTTTCCAAAAATATTAGTGGCACTACCTTCTTACAAATAGCGAACCAAAACATGACTTAAAAAGCGTTTAAGAAGTAGAAAACCAACCATATAGTAACAAGGCGTATTTCGAATTATCTTCGATTATTGCGAAACCTTAAATATCTTTGATGTCAATTGTAAATATAACACATTTTGTTCGCAAACAAGCAAATATTAACTTTATTTTAATAGGATGATTTACATTCTTTTAAAAAATGACAAAGGCCTCCTCGGAACTTAATGTTTCTGCGACTGATGCTTTAAGTTTAAGAGTGTAGTGTTTAAACTGCCAAAGAAGTCCATTGATCAGTAAAATACAAAAAAAAAATATTTGTAGTCATGATGATTATAACCAAACGACAAGTATCACACAATATGTGAATGTAAGAAACTATAGGTCATCGTACGATCGTCGACAATAGGCAAAACGTATTCTGTACAAGACAGCTATAAAAGGTCCCGCCATGACAAAAAATTGAGAAAACCAACGGCCTGAAGCTATGAAAAAACAATAGACGTTAACAAATATGACAGACAGCAACCAACGACAACCACGGAGATATAGGATGGGACATGTAAAGAAAGGAAGTGGTGGGTAACGTTTGGAAGCGATTAAACCTCCAAGTTTTGAGGTTTTAATATCTTTCACCCCACACTGTACTTTAACGTTGACTAAAAAAG